GTATGTATGTATGAATATGCGAGAACAGTAAATGCCTATAAATGAAGTTCAACTCACCCTTACTGAGGTCTAATATCCCTTCAGTTATATTCATACACTTGTGGGGGTAAGGGACTGATTCTTTGCTTATTTAACAATACTCTTCTAACTTGCACAGGTTATAGGCCTAATGAGATGGAGGGATGACTATGATTGGTGCGTAGGTAACAATATGGAACGAGATGGTGACAGCTATGTCAAGGCAGTAATCTCAGAATGTTTAGAGAGACTGAGGAAAAGCATGGAGAGTTCACAAGAAATGAACCTGGGACCTCCAGAATATGAAACAAGAGTGTTAGCCATTCAACTGTGATGCGTATGAATAATTAGGATATCAAATATGATACTTAACATTTAATAAAAAGATTGCATACTTCTGTTGTGCACAGCGTGTAATCTCCTGTGATAGCCGCTTCATGTTGGAGCCACCCTTGGGTTCCTGGGACAGGACTTGCAGCAATACCTGACTATACACATATGTGTGCTGTCCATGGCACACCATTTTCTGCAATATATTTGATGCTATTAAAACAAGACACATGGTTAGACAAAAACAGAAATATGGAAATAACTGAGAAACTTTAGGGCAATAAGATACTTGAAGAAATTACTTCATATATGAAGAGACGAAAATATCATGCAGGTTGAATGGCTGAAGAGGTGACTATAAACCTAAAGGATAAAAAACAGGACAAAGCCAAACAAGATGCTGGAAAAGTTTCAAATCTGAGAAACTGAAAGGATTCTGACGATGGTGTATACTGTATTTCTTTTGGCTTATTTTGGACTCCACCCATCGTCTGGTATGTAAAAGACAAACGACCATGACATTTCAGAGACTGGATCTGTCTCCGTCTTCAGGTGGATAGGGAAGGATAAACCTACTCAGTCTCAATCACCAGTGATTGAGACTAGCTCTTTCTAACGGGCCCAACTGAGTAGGTTTATCCTTCCCTATCCACTTGAAGACGGAGACAGATCCAGTCTTCGAAACATCGTGGTCTTTTGTCTTTTACATACCAGACGATGGGTGAAGTCCAAAATAAGCCAAAAGAAGTACTGTTACAGTTCTTGTAAAATGGCCAGGCTCCACAGTTTGTACATGTCTCCTAAATGACATCACTGTCACTTCTGCCTCAGAAGTTCACATGACTGCCAAGTTGGTATTACTGATGATTCAAAATTAAAGAGTATACGATTGGAAAGTTTCATGTGGCAATACACTTCTACATTTGTAAGTTTAGGAAAACCTGTCTATTGGTTGAAAAATTATTTAGGGGACATAGGCACATGGATATGATCATACTATAAGCCAATTTTCCTTACGAAATAAGGAGGGCACTATAAAAACAGAAATATTCCAGGCTACAAGAATCAAAATTTGATCTATTAATGCATGTAGATAAAGAAAGAGTAAATTAAATATCACTCACTGCACATTCCAAAATGCTGTTTTGCCAGTCTTCTGAATTCTGAAGGAAGCTTGAGATGGTAGTCTTGAGAACACGGGAAAATACTTCAATCTGCTGAGCAGCTGTTGATATGCTGGTGATCTCTCCCTGGAATCCTGCATCAGATATAAGCTGCAAAAAATAACCATTTTCAACTAAGTAAAACCTCATTAAAACAGAACTAAAAGACATGAATATTTTTTTCTTTTAACACTGCCACTTATATCTCAACAGATACTGCACAGCACATACCCCTTATATTTACGATCCCAATCACAAATCATAAATTCTGGGCAGTGTACATTTATAGGCTTTTCCTTTTTTGTGCAGTAGTATATCAAAGTATTTTATGCATGGTTAATTCTTTCCCGGTTACAACAGAAATGTTTCTTTTCAAATACACACCACAAAGAATTCAGTGCAGAACAGAATTCAATAGGCAAAGAACAACACATTCTGAAATAGACTGTTTTCAAATTAAGTTCCTGTTTTTCCTTTCCACCTCTGCACTACATGATCTCTGTTAACTGCATGTACAGTATGTGCCAAAACATGCAGTACTGACACTCGCGCATCTTGAACGTGCATGTGTGTTTGTCGATGGGGCATAGCTCCAGCCACACGTGTTCTCAATAGTGAAGAGGAAGTTGTGTTGTGCAGCTGTTGCTGGAAATGGGTGTCTCGACAGAGGAAAAAGTATTCATAGTTGAGTATTATTTCTGATCATACGGAAGTGGTCGCCAGACAACTCGCTTCCTTGGTTTTGAGTGGCCAGATGTTATCGTCCAGAAACTGTTACATAGTACACAGGTGACGATATGGTCTGCCATCTCAGCACATGGTATATTAGGCCCCTATTTCATTGAGGATGAGGAAGGCAATGCTCTTACCGTCACCCAAGAATGCTACAGGGACATGCTGATCCGACCATTTCTCCAGGATTTGAGAAAGTTCTGTCATGCAAGGGGCCTTCACATGAATACACAGTGGTATCAACAGGATGACTTTTCATTTCAGTACTGTATATTTTGGCGCATACCATACTTATTCACAGTATTCACTCTGTATTCTGGAAACTACAGAAGGTTTCAGTCAAAGCATGTACACAAAGAAGTTCTAAAGACTGCCAATGGAGAGCAACAAAGAGTACTGCTGAGCAGTACATGATCTTCTCATTGGGTTTCATTAAATATACACACCATCAAAAAATGTTTCAAATAAATGTTTGCATCTTCAAGAAATCTATATTTAAGTTCTGTAAAATGTTTTGTACAATAAGTGGCTAAGCTAAATTTCAGTTACACGTAAAGCAGAGATTTTTGTGGCTTAATACAAAAGAAATTTAAATTTTCTTAACGATTTTCAAGACCCCTTGAGCTCAAAAAAAAAAAGTTTGTTTTGTATTTTCACAGTCGAAGCATGTGGGTCGGTGTCAAGATATATCTCTTCATTATGTGCACATTTTTGGCACTTCGTGCAAAGAATGCACACAACATTCCCTTGCAACACTTCCAAGGCCTTTATTTCAGTGGCCACCAGCCAACAAAATGCAAAGCAACATGGTCAAACCTTGATAGTAAAGTTAAGCATGAGGCAGTCTGGATACTCCTCAGCCAGACGGTAGATGAGAGAGCGCCATGTGGGATGTTCAATCATTTCTGTTAGCCAGGCAGGTGTCTGTGTAAATACAACATAATAATTATTGTACTGATGAGCTACTTTTATTACCCTCATACAATGAAACGTGAACTGAGTTGTTTATCGATATTTGTGGTTCAAACTGATTCAACTATAGTGGTAATGTTGTGGTTTTCTTGGCTGTAAACACAACAAACTTATAATAACAAATTTAAATGTCTGTTGCAGGAGGGATAGGAACATGGAATATACACGCTTAACTTGTTAACATTTCAACTAAAGCTGAAAAATTATTTTTCTCATATTTGATTTAGAAAATCTGAGACCTGTAAATGTCTAAGTTATTTTAACATGAAAGAGTATAAAATAACTACATTCTGTTAAATAATGGGGCCAAATGTGGAGTACATCTGAATTTGGTCATGAGAGCATTAATACATACTGTCTTCAGATCATTATTGCCATTGTTTCTCATCAGGAATTCAACATACACTTTTCAACTGCAGATTCAATTTTAGTAATGCAGACATCATATGTTACTAATGAAATGCAAATCTTCACAGTATATTCATTCATCCAAATTGCATTAACCAAATAAACAGAAAAAAATTCATCTCAATTACTATATCTTTTTGGTACCTGACATATGCACACAACTTACCTCACCCTCTTCAGTGAAAATTGTGTCTGCCTTCTTCGGATCAAATGTCTTGAGGATCATATCCTTGAGATGATTTTCGACCATTGCTTGAACATCTGTCACCTTAACTCCTAATAAATAAAACGAATTACCAGTCTAAGGTTAAAAAAGACTTCAGTTATAATGGGGTGAAAAACTAAAAAAAAAAAAAAATGAAATTTTGAAAGTTAAGGTTTTTAGTGTGTTTTCTGAATTTAACAAGAATACTCTGTTTGAACTTTAGCAGATAGAGGGTGTCGCGTGGTCAGTGCAACGAATCCCTACGGCCATTAATTTCGGTTTTCTAGACTGGAGCTGCTATTCCCTCGACAAAGTAAGTAAAGCTATCCCTGTACCAGGTCGAGAAGGCCCATAGGGTTGTGAGACATTGAGGGTCCCACATTATCTAGACAATCGGCTCAAAGATGGCGGTAAGGCTGTCAGCCTTACGCGTCGGCCGCGCTTTACTCCCCAGGAAAATTATTTAATTAATTCCTGGTACTCATTTCTGTTAGATGCTGAGTAAACCCCAGGGCCTAGTGCGGCTGGAAGGATTAGATCAACTGAAAAATTCCAATGACCTCATTGGGATTTGAACCCGCAACCTTCCAGCTTGTAGTGTTGTACCTCAACCACTATACTACCGCGTGCCCCATTTCCTCGAAATAGATCCTCAATTATCCTCACATGGCTGAGTGGACCCATTCTAGACACACTACTTCTCAGAAAATCTGGTAGCTCCGGGAATCGAACCTGGACATCTGGATCTGTAGCCAGGAACTCTGACCACTAAATCACAGATGTGCTGACAAGCGGCGGTTGCTCAGTCAGTATAGTTTGCTTGTGGACTAAAACAACAAAGTTTGTATGGTTTGTATTCCATTTGCACTTTAACACTTTACTTTTTAACATGACAGACACAGTTGGGCCATTCAATCATCAGCCTATATATGAGAATATTATTTAGATGTCAAAACTAAAATTATTCACCAAAACTAAATGCTTCTGGGAAAAACTGCCCAGGAGACAAGTTGTTTTAATTTGTTGTTTATGTTTTCAGCCATTCAAACAGTAAAAAGTTGTTTATGCATATAATAATAAGTGGTTTCATAAAATTAAAAAAAAATACTAAATTTATACTATACAGTGAACCACCTAGTGATGGTTTCTTTGGGGGTCATATGGACTGGAACCTTCAACTGAGGAAAATCTTAAACTGAGATAATATGAAATTGAATTTATTGTCTTGGGATTACTGAAATTGAATGTTAAAAGAGGGAAAACCTTAAAGCTTTCAACATTAAATGGTGGTTCCACTGTATATTATAAGTGAACCATTCCATTAATAAAGGTAGAATTTTTAGATTTGATATGTGTCATAGCTGTATTTGTAGCCTCGAACACAGGGACACTGAGATTATAAATGGCAGATAGTAGTAGTAGTATTTATTTCCATAAATCCAATACTAGAAATACATTCAGAGGATGTGGAAAAGTCATACAAAACACATAAATAAAAACAGTACAAGGTACCAAGTCAATATACAGATATGTTAAATAATACTACTGAGATCATAAAAACATAACGAGTATCAATTCAACCCTTCCTATCAAAAATACTTAAAATACTCTTCCAATACATAACATGAGTAACAAGACTAGAATTCTTCAGATTCAATTTGAAACTGTTAACAGCTTTGTACAAATTATATGAATATGACCATATCAGATTAATACTACATCATAAGGATACTCAGAATTCGCTTCCAAAGTATAATAAATAAAGTACAAATAATTAAATAAATCAACAGTACAAAAGTACTAAGTCAATGTACAAATATAGATAAATAATACAACTAAAACTCATGAGTATGATCAGTGTCAAAATTACCCTTCAATTAAAATACACAAAATACTCTTCCAAGGTATAAAATGAGTGATTATACAAAAATTCCTTTATCTTTAATTTAAATTGTTTGACATCTCTGTATAATTGTTTCAGGTTTAATGGAAGACTATTGAATAATTTAATGCCCATATAATACGAGCCTCTCTGGTATAATGATAAATGAGTTGAAGGTTGATAAAGATTAAGGTTAAAACCCTGTCTAGTGTCTCTGTTATGTACATCAGATACAAATTGATATTGATCCATGTTAAGTACCACAAAGCATAAAAGTGAATAAATGTATAAGGATGATAGAGGAAGAATTTTTAAAGTGGTAAATATCTGTCTACACGAGCTTCTATTACCAGCACCAGTTAAACAAACAAACTTTTCACTGAGAACAGACGACCAATCAGAATTAGGTAAAGTGTTATAAAGCAAAAGGAAAGCACCATGGAATCAAGTATGAGGATAGTCTAAAGTCAGTATACAGTAAAGGAGAGATGGCAAATGATAACCTTCAGGAATGACTACAGGACAATTAGAAACAGAAATACTTATGTGACAGGTTCATAAACATAAGACAGAGTAGCACACTATTTAGAACACAACTCTGGCACTGACTGACAGAAGAAAACTGGAAGTGGAATGAACTGAAATTTCTGACCACTACCATTGGTGCCCTCAATTTATTAGAGGGGACAGAAATTGAGCTGGTATCATTCCATACAATCAGTTTCTTCTGTACATGCCTGTCACTAAGACAAATCTACTATCCACAGACCATGAATTCTTCCATTGGCTTCCATTGGTAATATAGGTCTGTGTTCCCAAATTGATAATGCTGGCATAACTTCAAATATATTTCTGCTGAGATGACACATTACACAAACATGCGACTTCCCTGTAGGATCCAAGATGAAGGTGGGAGGATGATAAACCCTGGGGCTGTTGTGTGAGAGGCTTGGAATGGATGGCCAGTAAATCATATAGACCTTTTATTCATATCTTCAGAGCCGTGCTATTGATATTCAATCAGTCACCTCCTCACTCAGGTCTGTACTGTATTGATGAGATTTAATGAGACAAACTGTGCAGACACCACTGGGGCAAACAGTCTGAAGCTGCATGCAGAACACCTCATATGTATCTGAACTGATGACAGGAGGGAAGAAATATGACCCTCCAGAGAAATAACCTAAGCAAGATCAGAAGAAGAAGAACATCACTGGGTCTTACCTGACAACAACAACTTTAGTAATATAGGATGTCGGATGTTTAATCAGTTACCACAATATATTAAAGAGATACCAGTACTACACAAATTCAAAAAGACTCTGAAAACATTCTTGCTGGATCATTGTTTTTATAGGGTAGAAGACTTTTTCGTGGTTGGGGATAAATCAAATCATAATTACTAGTTATCATATACTTAATGAATAAATGACTTACATCTTTACAATAACATATATGTGGGAATACCTTCTGCTCTGTTTTGTTTTTTTACTCTTGCAGAGAACAGGATAGCAGGAGGTGTTGGCTGGAACTACCCGGATAACGACAGATGACCATACTCTCCAACATCAATTTATAGGCCGCGCCAGAGCTTAAGTGATTAGTCGTTGGCTTCCCACCACTGTGATTTGAACAAGTGGGATTTGTGATAACAAACTGGCACTGGGGGAGGTTTCCTCTGAGTACTTCGGTTTCCCCTGCCAAATAGGTTAAATAGGCTAAATAGCCGAAACATGTTGTTAATCTATACTCAAATTTGATGTGTTGTGACTGATAAATATAGTGCTCATCATTTAATTATTATATTAGTATAAAATTATATTGTTCTTATTATTATTCTATTATTGTATCACTGTACTGTCTTATCGTATCGTTGTATTGGATTATAGAGTGTTTTGACTTGTCCTGTGTCATGTATAATGATCCATGGATGTGAAGTGAATAAATAAATAAATAAATAAATAAATAAATGACATATCGTCATTCTTCCAGAGGGGAAAAGTTTTAATTAAGTAAAAGTAAAGTAAAGTAAAGCTATCCCTGTAACAGGACGTGAAGACCCATAAGGTTGTGAGATGTAATACGTGTACTCTGCCTCGTTGATCTGTAGTTTTTAGATGACATCAACCAGAAAAAAGGTCACAACAATTAAAGAATTTTCGTCTTCCATAAAAGGGTTTAAGGAACACAGAAAAAATAACTTTACTAACAGTCATACTAGCCATGGGAGTTAGTGAAATCCTGTCAACACACAACTAGCATGATTCTGACACAGCAGAGGCAGAGCACAGGACAAAACTGTTTTATGCATCAAGCTAAAGAGATAATACTAATGATAAAGAATTAAACTGAATAAACAAATCATACTGTAACTAGAAAAATCTTCCATTTTCTGAGATAATCAGCTCTGCTAATATAAAATTCAAATGTTTCAAAAATAAAAACAATCCCTGCAATATCAGATTTGTATTTTTGACTCAGTTAGCTGAACATTCAAGAAGACTTGATTGGGTATCATAATTATAACTGCTGATGCTGTGCACCACTTCAAAATTTATAACAGCATACAAAACAAGCCACTTGCCCGGACAGTTAAGAATGTAACATCATGATTTCTTATATGCTGACTGGGTTGAAGGCGTTCAGAGAGGTAAGTGTGATTATTTCGTGGGAGTGATGAAGAAAGTGCAATTGAGAGGGACAGGGACTGGATGTGATCATAATTCTACTACACTTCACCACTACATTATATGCATTCCTTTTATTTTTAATACATCCTTAATTTAGCTCACCTCCAAGAATAAGCCACTCAGCAAGCAGATTCGCCATCTGTGCCACAGCACTGTAGTTGTGAGACAAAAGTTCAATAACTTGCTCAGGATTTCCACCTGCTTGGAAGTACCTACAAAAACATTTTTATAATTAAGACACACAGTGTACCTTGGCAAAGATAAAATATCCCCGCCTTTTCACTACTATTTCCCCAAATCCTGGTTTGTATGTTTCCAGCTACAGTCAATCCCACCACCAGGCTTCACCTGATCATAACATTTGCCTACATTGCCTGATGAAGTGTGGTTCAATGTTGGAAAAAGTATTTAAAGAAAACAGAAGAAATGATCATTTATGACTCTATGCAGTTTCATATTTGTAGTGAGATTATCTTCACAATATTTGTATCTGGAAACAGGATCAAGACTGCTGAAGTATGCAAATTCACACTGGACAATACATGTACTCGAAACTTGAGAATTTTATATACTTCCAGTATTCAAAACTATAACATACCAATTATTGGTTCTTTGGACATTATCTATCATCCTGATTTTTATTTAAAAACAACATTTTGGAGACTGGATTCTGTCTCTGCCCTCAGGTAAAAGTCTACTCAGTTGGGCCCAAACTGATAGAGCTAGTCCAGAGATAGGGGCTAGTTCTATAAATTGGGACCAACTGAGTAGGCTTTTATCTGAGGACGGAGACAGAATCCAGTCTCTCAAACATTGCTTTTAAATAAAAAACAGGACAATGGACAATGTCCAAAATATCAACAACTGTATTAATATAACTTGGTTCATCCTGGTCTGTCACACTAGCAATAATACAAAAGATCATTAATGCTGTCCAGTGTAGGTGATAAATGTTTTTCCTTTCGTTAATAATTCATCCTTTACATGTTCCGGTCAGAGTGACCATCTTCAGAAGGACATGACAATACATGTGGAAACCACAATTATAATGTCTCTGTTTACTACCAATACATACAGATACCACCATTACAATGTCATGAATATAAAACATTAGCCCTTAGTATTAATATACCATCATCACAAACTTTTAGATCTTAGCTACAACATACAACTAATTTTCCCAAAGTGCTGAACATAATATTTGGATTAAAGATGAGGGAAATAACAGGGGGACAGAGAAAATTATATATGAGAGGCTTCCTAAGTTGTGCTGTTTCCCTAGTATTACGAGGATAAATGTGAATATAAATATGAATGAGACTGGTAAAACATACAGCACAGGAAAGATGAGAAATCCATACAAAATGGGCAACTTAGGTTTAGATGGGAAGAAAATATTAAAATTGATCTAAAAGGTCCTATAAACCCTGATATAAGTAGTGACATGAATAACAATGCAGCCTGCAAAATATGTCTGGATACTTCAAAAGAAATGTTTCAGTGTCAGGTGGTTGTGATGTATGCATCAGTGCCACCTGGAAACTGGCAATGAAATGTCTCAGCATATATGGAATTGTTGTGCAACTTGCCTCATAAACTGGTCAACTTCCTGCCACACTGAGCCTTGTATCCAGTGAAGCATGGTGTTGATATTAAGTGGTTGGGATTTTTGTGAGAAATGTCTACATTTTTATCAACTCCATCTGTGTTTCTGGAATTCAAAATGTAAAGGATATTCATATAAACACCTATGCAAAGATGCTTACAGCATCCACCATAACAGTATTCTTTTTTTTCTGTTCTTGATAATATTAAATGCAGTAGATTTGGGAACAATTCACTATTCTTGTGGAGGAGGGGGAGGCAAGAGCAAAAGGACTAGGGAGAAAAGGAGTATGATATACTATTCTTTTAATATCTTGTGAAACTGAACCTATATGGTGAAGTAACTTGACAACACCCATAAAATGGAACTATATTTATGTTTCTGTACTTTGCTCAGATGCTTAGAAAGTAAAGCAAAAGTAAAGCTATCCCTGTAACAGGCCATGAAGGCCCACTGGGTTGTGAGACGTTGAGGGACCCACATTATCTACAGTTGGTTCAAAGATAGGGGTAAGATTGTCAGCCTTATGTGCCGGCCGTGCTTTACTCCCCAGGAAAATTATTTATTTAATTCCTGGTACTCATTTCTGTTAGAGGCTGAGTGAACCCCAGGGCCATAGTGCGGCCGGAATGATTAGGTCAATTAAAAAAATCCAATGACCTCATCAGTATTTGAACCCGCAACCTTCCAACTTGTAGCATAGTGTCTTAACCACTACGCCACTGCGTGCCCCCGATGCTTAGAAAGACTACATGAAATACACAGAATCTGGAGGAGGTAAAACAGAAAGTTGTTGTTCCTGTGCTCATGAATCATGCCATGAAGATGTAAACAGGTCATGAAGGTAGAGCTCCACACATTTTAGATCCTGGAACTGGAGAGCAGTGAGTGCTAAATTCATGCTCCAACTGCTTTAAGCCATGGCAAAGAGCTTTAAGTATCCACTTGACAGGAAGCTGGGTGTCACAGAGCCTGTTCTGCAGGGAAAAGAATGGTTCTAGCTTTGATGGTGTGGCTTATCCATCTTGCTGCCAGTCATGTTATTGACTGAGCTATTGCAGTTCATCATGTTTGCTAGAGTGTCTAGAGAAAACTTAACATGTTTACTACTTTGGTTATGGGTGGAAATAAATCTGTATTTTGCTCCCTCAATTAACATGTTCAGAAGTTCTCCAGTACTTTCACTTCCTTCATTGCACTTTTACTTGATAATGTATTTCAAGACACTAAATCCCTGCTTACTTTACAGACATCTGAATACAAAATAAGATTTTTTATTGGTTCATTTTGGATCTCTTCCATAACAATCAGATTTTGTATGAACATAATTCTTGTATACAGACCTCTTCAACTGAGTGAAGATGCCGGGTTCCATGATGTAATCAGGTGTGCTGAACTTCTCTAGGCATTCTTTCAAAATTTCCTGTGGGCTTTCCATTGGTTCTTCCCCTCCTTCAGACTATTACAACAGAAGAAACTTTACTTAGGAAACTTGGAAATTATATGTGTGGGCTTTACAATGTATCCCCATGTGGAAACCACCCACAGTGAATCAAGAGCTAGCCAGTCACAGACTAGGAACCAACCAATGCTAAGCAACCACCCCTGCTTAATAAACAGCCAATGTTTAGCATTGGTTGGTTCCTAGTCTTTGACTGGCTAGCTCTTGATTCACTGTGGGTGGTTCCCACACCCGCGATCCCTGGAGGCCCATAGGGGTGTGAGACGTCGACACACTATAAATAATAGCCTGTGATTACAAAAAAATACAGTCTAAAAATATATAAGCTTCAGGTACTCCTAGACTTTTCTGAGACAGGATCAAGGGCCTCATAATGTATGTAAGCATACTGAAAACAAAATTTATTATGGAAGTTTTGGGTCAAAAGCAACAGACTACAACCAAACAAGCGAAATTTGAATGCTGTGATTAACTCCAAAGAGCAAAGTTCTTCTTGAAAGGCCAAGAGCCACTCAAGAGATTCACCTTCTGTGAAATATGAAGGTTCAGTACAATGTTCACAATAGCCCACCACTGGTCCTTTCCTGATACAGATGAACCAAGTTCACATCATCACATGCTTTCTTTAATATTCATTTTAATATTATCCTCCCATCTCCATCCAATTCTCCCATGTTGTCCCTTTCCTTCAGAGTTGCTGCCTCATTCTGATCTCTTCCACGCATGCTACATGCCCCACCCATCTCATCCATGTTGATTCCTTAATGTTAGTGGTGTACAAACTACAAACTGTCTCCTGTTACTTCCTCACTTGTGGATAAAAATAATCTCTTCAGCACCTTAAATTCAGCTACCCTAAATCTATAGCCTTCATGACAAGAGAAAATTTCACACCTATAAAAAAAAAAGTTTTCTGTGCGGTCCATGCCAGGGCTATATAACAAGCACTGAATACTGAGAAGACATTATGTATGATGTAGTTATAGTGATCTTTGGAGTGTGTAACTCAGTGGGACTGACATCGTTATTTGTAGTTACATTCTGTAAGTGTTCAGTAAATCTGATTACCAATCTAAACGTTATCTGTAGTCACTCAATCACACGACAATATATCCTAATCTTTATATATATTGACAGATGGGACGCCAAAATGTTCTGAACTGAATGACAAGCACTCCATGAATTTAATCTGTCTTCCATGAATGCAATTATGTAAACCATATTACAGTGTTTCCCAACCTGTGGTCCGCGGGATAGTTTATTTTCATTAAACTTTATCTTATCATGTTCCTCACACCTGGGATATTTGCAATGTATATCTCTGGCTCCTGAGGCCCATGGTTGAAGCAAAATTTAACGGGACTGTTGGTACCGTTACTTCTTCCCTTTGTAAAGCAGAGGTGAATAACCAACGATTTGTGTAGCTTTTTCCAAGGACATTTTCTTTTGGTCGGCCCATTGCATCTCAGACCCACATTTCAGGGTGGACTGCTGTCCTAGCACCTGCTGTGCGACAATTCTCCCCTCCTCCCCCACCAAATCCATCCCTCTTTGGTTGGGAATAAACCTGGGACCATTGACCACGTTTCTTATTCATTTCAGAGGCAGAGCGAACAACCCGTGTTTCTTTAGTTTTTGTGCAGTGAATTTTTATAATATTATACAAGTGTGTTTTTCTCGGTGTAATATTCAGTTTTTCTGCTTTTGTTCAAATAATTGAGTTCACAACGAAACTTCTGATTTTCAGTTTGTTCACGATCTTATTTAGATATGGATCGGTGGTTAAAGTGTGGATCATTGAAACGTAAGACAGACGATAATCCGAGTGGATCTAGTGTTGTCGAAAATAGTACCAGGGCAGATAAAGTTCCTTCCCTCAAAAAATCACGCAAATATTGTCCATCTTATTTGCAAATGGGATTTTCCGTTCTGAATAAAGACGGCGAAGACAGACCACAGTGTGTTCTTTGTTGCGAAGTGTTATCGAATGAATCTATGAAGCCGTCGAAGTTGAGACGCCACCTTGAAACGAAACATGGCGAATCAGTTAATAAGCCAATAGAATATTTTCAAAATAAGAAACTGCAACTTTGTGGTTCACAGAATTTAGTTAAGGACATTGTATGTGGAACGAAAAATGAAAAGGCTGTTCTTGCCTCTTACGAAGTCGCCCTTCTGATCGCTAGAAATGGACAACGCCATACAATCGGGGAAGATTTAATTTTGCCTGCTACAAAAACGATAACAAAGAACTTGTTTAGTGAAAAACATGCCAACGAGGTGTCTCTAATATCGTTATCTGACAATACTGTGAAAAGAAGAATCAATGAGATGGCTCAAAATGTGAAAGATATTTTGCTAGAACGGTTACGTCATAGTGAATATTTTGCGTTGCAGTTGGATGAAAGCCACGATATTTCAAATAATGCTAATTTGGTAGCTTTGGTGCGATATGAACACGAAAATAAAGTTTGTGAAGATTTTTTGTTCTGTGAATCGTTACCTCTTAATACAACTGCTGAAGCCCTTTTCAAAGTTGTCAATGACTTCATAACTACAAATACACTTCAATGGGAAAAATGTGTAGGTATCAGCACAGATGGTGCTCAGGCAATGTCGGGAATACATAATGGTTTGGTCGCACGTATCCAGAAAGTCGCACCTCTTGTTAAATGGTCACACTGTTGCATACACCGCTAAGTATTAGCTGCATGCCGTATGCCCTCCAAAATGAAAATCGTTCTAGACAAGGCAGTAAAAATTGTCAATTTTATTAAAGCCCGTCCTCTTAACAGCTGATTATTTTCTGCGCTTTGTAATGAAATGGGAAGTGATCACGAACACTTATTATTGCACTCAGAAATCCGATGGCTGTCCCGGGGTAAGGTTTTGACGCGGTTGCTTGAGCTTCGAGACGAAGTAAGGTTGTTCCTCATAAACTCTAAATTTCAGTTAACACACTATTTAAATGATTTCGCATGGCTCTCCTCTCTTGCTTACTTGGCGGACATTTTTAACATCTTGAATACTCTTAACTCGAGCCTTCAAGGTACATCTGTCACCGTGTTTTCTGTGCAAGACAAGATAGAGGCAACAATCAAGAAGTTAAATTTGTGGTGCAGCCGTATCGAGAAAGGAAAATACGATTCCTTTCACATGCTGAGTGATTTCATTGATTCCAGTGAACAACCCCTTTCTAGTGATGTTGCTGAAAGTATGATTGAACATATGAGGTCATTGGCGTCTCAACTACGTCTGTATTTTCCGTTTGGTCTTGAAAATAACGACTGGATGAAAAATCCCTTTGTAGACTCTGAATTTGAACTTCCTTCTGCCGAGGAAGAGCAACTTATCGAGCTGTCCTGTGATTCGACGTTCAAATTGCTGTTTCCTTCGTTACCGTTACTGGAGTTTTGGTTCCAAGCTAGGTCTGTTTACCCTGAAATTTCCAAAAGGGCTGTAAGACATCTGTTGCCATTTGCCACTACATATCTGTGCGAGACAACATTTTCTCATCTTGTATACATGAAAAACAGATATAGGAACAGACTTAACGTGGAGCCAGATCTACGTCTGAAATTATCCAGTCTTGATCCTGACATTCGAAAGTTGACGTCTGAAAAACAGCACCAGCCATCACATTAGGTGAGTGTTAAATTCATAATATTACGCCTAATTGATATGTTCGTAATCTTCCGAATATCTCCATTTATAACACTATTTTATTGTCATAAATGACACATTTAGTGTTGTAAAATTTTAAGTTACTGCTTCATTTTTATGATATTGTGGCGTGTTTTGTGTGTCACGCTACAAATAAGTTCACGCCGTTCTTTGATATAGCGAGTTTATTTCGTTCGCTCACACTTTACACACTTTACAATCGTTACCACTTGCAGTGTTACAAATATTGCTTACAATATTCCGGCCGACACTGGACTGTCCTCTCTGGCGGTTGTTCCAAGACTGACTGTGCGAATGCATTCAACCCTGCTATATAACCTCGGTCGCAGCTATGCAACGAACCCTCTGCTATAACCATGGAGACTCCTGTTAGAACTACAATGGAGCGATTGTTGTTTCCTATGCAACGGTCTATTCTAGCGTTTCCATAGAAGTTACTCTTCTGGACTGCCGACATGCTACATTGGTGTCAGAAGTGGGATAAGACTTATATACGTGACCGACAAGATTCGGACTTAAACACCCACAAACGAATTTTTGTGCGTCGAGTACTTCACTGATATAACATGGAGATGCAGCAGATGATGGAACTGCTGCTGAAAGAATTCAGAGCCACCAAAGAAGATTTCCTGGCTAAATTGGATGTCAACGAGGCCAATAGAAAAGCTGACATGGAGGAAAGGAAGGCGGAGAAGAAAGAATTGCTGGCCTTAATGGAGGCCAACCAAATAAAAGCTGACGCCTGGCATAAACAGATGATGGCCGAGCAGAAAGCATGGCGAGAAGAAATGGCCGCCATGTGAGCCAAGAGGTTGAAAGCCGATATGAACTCCTGGCAAGAAGAGCTGACACCAATAGAAACGACATCCCGTCGCGTGACAGTGGCACGACGATGGAGAAATGCCCCCAAGAAGGAAACTCCCCAAGGAACCTTCGGATGCCAGCGGAAGAAATTGGCCGTCGCCCACAGATGGACGAGCCCCCGTGCGAAAGTGGCACGGCAGACAAAGGAGACCGGCAGAAAGACGCCCCATCCAAGAATTGCCTGGCGCAAGAAAAGCGTGGGTAGGAGAAACTGCATCGGGACCACGATCGGGCGAGCAACGCGGAGAGAAGGGCTGCTCAAGAACAATTTAAGGACGCACCATAAAGGCACAAAGGATCGGCGCGGCAAGGAGTCCCTACACGGGAGGAGGAAGAGGAAAACGACGGACAGCATCTGGGAGTGGAGCCCGGGAGAGCGAGCTCTACTGGGAAGCGAAGGGAAACTGAGAGAAAAATTACATGAGATCTACGGTCCGGAAAACTTGAAACAAATTCCCAAGGCCCCCAGCAGGGCATGGAGAAACAAGAACTGGGCACTGTGGAGGGGTCGACCCCCTCCAAAACGGAAAAAGGGAAACGGCCGTTATGGGAGGAACCGGTAACATAGAAGTACCGGCCTCCCCAACAAGGATGCATGAAGAATGAAAGTGAGGGATGAATGTAAAACAACGAGATCACAAATTCTCGGCTATGGGAGTGCTCGGGACGAGCACAACTGAAGAGAGGGGCGGATGCAGCAAAATGAACGGCGCAATAAGATGCGCGAGGGACACCACGGCCGAATGCAGATGTTGCAAGCAGATCACCGCGGAATCAAAACCGAGGGAGAACCTTTAGGCTGTTCGGGGACAAACAACCTTTAGAAGGGAGCAATGTAACGTGTCGGGAATCCAGAAGAGTCACTTCTATGGAAACGCTAGAATAGACCGTTGCATAGGAAACAACAATCGATCCATTGTAGTACTAACAGGAGTCTCCATGGTTATAACAGAGGGTTTGTTGCATAGCAGCGACCGAGGTTATATAGCGGGGTTGAATGCATTCGCACAGTCAGTCTTGGAATAGCCATCTTAGAAGAAAGTCTTCATCGAGCCTTCTAAGAAGTGAGTCTTCATCCAGCCTTCGAAGTAGAGAGTCTTGGAACAGCCGCCAGAGAGGACAGTCCAGTGTCGGCCGAGTTATTGTAAGCAGTATTTGTAACACTGCAAGTGATGACAACTGCAAAGCGTGTGAGTGTATAAGTGAAGAACAATAAAGGTTCTACAGAATCTGAGACTCACGGGAATTTATATGCAGCGTGACACACAAAACACGCCACAATATGTACTCGTAAAATTTAAAAATTTCCATTTTGGGTTTTATGGGGGCCGCGGTGAATTAACATTCGGTACAGGGGGTCCGCGGCATCAAAAAGGTTGGGAAACACTGCCATATTATATCACTCTTATTTTAATTATATTATAAATTATGGTTTACCTTTTTGGGGTAACTCATCCCAAAGTATAAAAATTTTTAGAACCAAATATAATTAGAATTATGTTGGGACACAGAAGGAGGGATTCGTGCAAGAACTTATTTAGAGAATTATAAATCTTACCTCTGGCATCTCAGTACATACTATCTCTTATGCTCTTTGTGATAAAAAAAAAAAACAGAAACAAATTCATAGTAAATTCAGAGAGTCATAGAATAAATACCAGACAGCAAAATAATCTCCATCAGTCTCTTGTAAATCTGAGTAAATACCAAAAGGGAGTTTACTTCCATGATGTGTATGTATTGACCATCTTCTAGTGCACACAATCTCACTCGTCACTTCACTACATGTTTCGGCATTACTGTGCCATCCTCAGGTGTGCTATTTACATTAAACTATTGCACTGCTCGCCATCATGTGTCATTTGTAAAATGATTTAAAATGTATATTTTATTATAGTACATGACAAATATACATTTTAAATCATTTTACAAACGACACATGATGGCGAGCAGTGCAATAGTTTAACGTAAATAACACACCTGAGAATGGCACAGTAATGCCAAAACATGCAGTGAAGTGACAAGTGAGATTGTGTGCACTAGAAGACAGTCAATACATACACATCATGGACATGAATCAGTGAAACAGGATGCTAAAATACAACATTATTAATAGGGAGTTTACTGTTTAGGAACAAAGGTCTATAATAATCTACCACAAAAGTTTAAGTATATATCGCGTGACACTAAGAGTTTTGAGGTACAATTAAAACAATTTTTATATTTACATTCTTTTTATTCTTTACAGGAATATTTTAGTTATAAAGCTTTTTAAGATGTGAGTGGTTGTCTTGCTTTACAATTAAAAGAAGACAAGATTGTCAGCCTGTGTTCTGGTTTTTAGATGCTTATTTTAGATATACACAATCTTTATATTACTGTATACTAGTCTTTATTTCAATTTATTATATAATTAATGTATGTTATACAAAACTCATTAATGACATTGTGTTTTAACTATTGAATTTTTAATTAATAGACTTGTATAAAACTGTACAAATTGTATAAGGTTTGCCATTACTTTTACTAGTAAAATTAACTTATTTATTACATTGTATATGTTTATCAGTATTTTATACAAATGTGTATGCTATTGGATGACAACTGTAATCCTTAGTTGTTACTGTAACTTGGACGATCTCCACATCCACATGAGAATGTACTCTTAACAGGATTTATGAAAGGTGAATAAATGAAATGAAATGAAATTCTGTCCTGCATTCTAAGGCTTAATATGTACTTAATTTTCTTTGTATCATTTATAAAACATCTCCTTACTAGCATCTACTAGATCATCTGTGTTTCTCTTCATGACATTTATGTTTTTGCCCAATAAATTAATATCACCAGAAGAGATCAAAAACTGAAATGCCCCATTCCAATTGAATCTGACATTTTCTTTTTTTATGGGGGGTTGTGGTCTTTCTGAAGTGCATATTCTAAAGCAAAGTTGAAAAGAAGTGGTGATAACTATTGTAGCTACTTCATACATAAAATAATATATTATGTACTATAAAACTTGAGGCAATTCTCATAATTTTACTAACCTCTCCATCTCCTATGTCTCCATCCCAACCTTTATCGTCAAATTCATCATCCATGATGTTATAATTACATTAATCTGAAAATAATTATAACAGTTTATTAATACAACTTATGTCACAAATTAAACCCACTAGACTGACACCTAAAAATGTCTTCCTTCTTAGAGAAAGAACAATTAATTCTAGTCAACAAGGAAACATAATTAAAAACTGTCTGTTTCAGTTTCAGAGAAATAATGAAGCTGAAGTCAGTATAGCAACTAGGCTGTGGGATATACAACTGGGCTTCAATTCCTGGCAGAGGCAAAAGATCTTTCTACTCTCCATGAAGTCCAGACCAGATCTAGGGCTTGCTCAGCCTCCTGTCCAATGAGCACTCGGGGGGGGGTTCACCCAGAGGCAAAGCAGTAGGGGCAGCCATCTATTCACCTCCGCGTAGAGCTGAGGTTAAGAATGGTAGAGCTATACCTCCACTCCCCCTCCCCATATGTCTTCATGGTATAGTGAATAATTAAGTACAGGTATCACTTTACTTTTTTTTTTTTGCCTTACATTTCTCTTTGTAAAACTTTTGTTTTGTTTATCCTCTTCTGTGAACTTGTTAAAGACTTCAGTGATGTGATTAGCATTGTTAGCTATGGGGACGGAGATGAATTTAAACAGTTGCCTGATATTTCATATTTCATTTATTTACATCCATAACTGTAAAATATACAATCGGATAAAGTCAAGGAGAATATATAGATTTAATAACAATCACATCTAACATAATCAAAGAATACATAAATTAGACAAACTGTGTAGCACCTCAATTTACTCCTATTGATCTAACACAATACTGTAATGAAAAGAATATAGAAATGTGTGCGCTTAAGATCAATACTGAAGAACAAAATATACTAGTTTTATGTGTATACAGGTCACCTAGTGGCAATTTTGATTATTTTATGAAGAAACTGGAAAAAGTACTTAATTTCCTACATAAAACAAAAATGGAATTTATAATAACTGGAGATTTTAACGTAAATTTTTTAAACGAGTCTGTCCATAAGACTCAGTTCCTCTTACTGTTGTGCTCATTTAATGTTTTTAATACTGTCCAGCTACCAACCAGAATTACTCAGAACAATAGTTCCCTAATTGATAATATTTTTATTGATAATAAAAGGAAAAACTCTTATGATGTACTCCCGATTACCAATGGTCTGTCTAATCATGACACCCAACGTCTTATATTAAAGAATATCAGTAATCTGAACAAGCATAAGCTTCATGGTACTATGATTAGAATTGTAAACAAAGATTCATTAGTACAATTTCAAAATGAAATATGCAATGAAAATTGGGAAAAAATTTATCAATCAAATGAAGTTAATGAAGCATATAATATATTTTTGAATACTTACCTGCTTATATATGAATCATGTTTTCTTAAGAAAAATATAAGTAAAAAGGATAATGATAATTCATGGATAACACTGGGAATACGTACCTCCTGTAGACGTAAAGAATTTTTGTATATTCTTAGTAAAAATCAAAGTAACAGTTTCAAAACATATTACAAAACTTATTGTAGTATATTAAGAAGAGTAATAAGGGAAGCAAAGAGGCTACATTACAACAGATTAATTGCATCAGCTAAGGATAGGATAAAAGCTACATGGAGTATTATTAATAGGGAGACAGGAAGGAAAAATAGCAACAATAACGATAGTTTACCAAAATCATTCCAACACAATACCGAAAAAGTAAGTAAGGATGAAGCAGCACATAATTTTAATACATTTTTTTCATCAATAACTGAAAATCTTAATATAAAGAAAACTAATTCACATTCAGCAATGAAGTATGTGTTCACATTTCCCA